GGACCAGGTGCGCAAGCCGAAGTGAAAAGAAAACACAAAAAAAACCTACGCCTCGGCCCACCCCGCCGACAAGACGCTGGTAACTATCATGGCACGCAGAAAGACACAATTTATACAATGTGGTAAAAAGGACTACGAGTATCAATGCTGCAAATATGAAAGAATTTGTAAATATGGTTTAAGTAATATCAACTCCTAAAAACTAAACGAACTGACACGTGGGTTCTTGTGGGAAAACCGTGTTTGTGCGGTTTGGGCGCGCGGTTACATGTTTCTTACTTGTGCATGATGGGGCAAAACTCGAAGCTCAATAGCTCCATGCGTGCAGTAATGATTCAGGATCAGGGCAGGTTGTTGTTTAGTTGTGTGTTAAAGTGAAATTCAAAACCAGCAATTCCTTTTTGACCGAGTATATGCTACAGCTCCACGGCAGCAGGGGCTGGGACGTAATGCACCCTTTTGTTAATACTCAGGTGCTTTGTGGCGACGTGAGCTTCACGACGGCCGTTTTCCTGTTTCCCATCGTCAGCGACTTCCTCCAGTACTCGTACCTCAGCCAGGAGCTCTCCGACTCGAGCGCCTCTTTGGCAAGGTCCGCCTATCACGCCGCCACCGGCGGTAGCGTGAGCCTACCGGAGGCCCGCGCGCTCGCCCTCGTCATGCTGACAGCCAGCGCCACCCCCGCCCTGCGCATAACGGGAGTGGGGCGGCTCAGCCTCGCCGCAGCGGGAGAGGCTATGGGCAAGGTGTGGAGGGTAGTCAGCCTGCTGCGCGACAAGCTTTAACGGCCGTTGTGTACGGCAGGCCCGGACTAGTCCACCTCTAGTCGTCTCTGGTGAGCTAGTGATCCGCCTGAACCTCTCAGAAATAGGAAATTCGATCTCAAAAATCCCTGAGCGCGTAGACAATTAAACTATTCATCGCCACCCCTGTCAGCGGCATCAAGGCTAGGAAAAATGAAATAAAAAGAGGAAAGAGAAACGTTTTCATCATTTTGCAAATATAAAAGTGATGTTATGACAATGCAAGACCAGTAATTGGTAAAACAACAACACAAAATTGTTTATAAATAGCTTGTTTTATTTTTATTTTGGTGTTTATCAAAACAGTAATAATAAAAACAATGACTTTCATTCATTACCGGGGGGGGGGGGGGGGGGGCGCTTTCCAAGGTGCCTGGCAATGGCGGGAGTAGATTCCACCTTCTTGACCAATTCTTGCAGCAGGGGATGATAGCCTTCCAAAAAGTCCCTTTTGTAGATGTACTTGAAGTACTTCGGGGTGCAACAAAGTACTGCCCATGGTAAATGCGTACACCAATAATTACACAGCAGCTTCCATTTTAGTTGGGGCACGTATGTACATTTCCGTTGACGAGGAAGCCATTGTTCTCCTTTACAATTTGTTCAAACTTGTTCAAGTAGAAAGGTATTTGATCCTGAAGCTGCGCCTCCTTCGCTGCCTTGCTCGCGGGAATAGGGCCATGGGACCAATCGCTAGAGCCCTGTAGCGAGCGAGCGTCAACAAATTTGTTCACACCAGCTTTTTTTAATTATCTTAAGAAATCAGTCCCTTAAGAGCACAGCTCCACGAGGGGGACGCTACATCAAAACTACAGAAAAAATGTGTAAGAAGAGCACTTACACAGAACTAGTAAGCTATAAATAAAAATTTTCATAAGCTTTTAGTGTATAGTCAGTTTTATTATCTCCATAAAGTACGTCCGTCATTCGCCGTTGCACTACAACTGTAAAATAAATCTTTAGCATTAACAATAGTTTCAAACTGTTAATTAGATTAACGGTGGTACACTCTGTTAAATTTTGAGCTCTATTCTACGGGGTACGTCGGGGAAGTACAGTCCTTCACTGTTAAAATTCATTTTTGACCGTGTGAGAGTGATCAAAATTTAACAGTATGCCACCGTTATTCCAACTATCAGTTTAAACACTGTTGTAACTGCTGTAGACTTTTTTTAACAGTGTACGACCAGATCAGCCCCTTCTGCGAGCTCTCATAGCGCCCGGTAGGTAGGCCATATCTTGCCTATAGGGCATGTGTGTACTGCGGGGTGGCCTACGCTGAGTCTCGCAGGCGCCGAGCTCCCGCAATGTGCCAAATTAATCTGCGAAAAACAGACGTTCTTTTTCGACGATCCCTTAGGTATGAGAGAATTCAACAAGATTGTCGGACTGGGAGCGGTGTTGACATGTTCGTGTGGAGGCACACTGCAGAGCACGTAACCTACCCAGTGAGAAATGATACCTCTCGAAACGATGTCAAAACGATCCGTTGCGTCGAAACGGTATCATTTAACAATCATACTTTTTCATGATCTCAATTCTTACTGGTGCTGCTTTGTCACGACACCATCACCACTATTTACACTGATAAGAAGGATTTACGATACTTTCAGCTGTTTCATTTTTTCTCTGAAAGACTTTATTGATAAGGTATAAAGTGAGTGTAGGGACGTCAATTCGACAGGCCACCTCTTCTTCTCCTTGCGCTCTGCGCTCCCCCTTTGCGCGCGGGGGCCCGCCACCTGTAGCGGCGCTACTCCGCGCACGCGGGCCCCGTCGAGTTCGCATCTCCGCTTCCTTGCGTTGGCGGTTGGGCAAACTCGAAAAAATCGTGTACACAGATACCAAAAAATACATAAACAAATACAAAAAAATCCTCTAGAATACAGAGAAATCTTCAGAAATATATGGAAATACACGCGATAAATTCAAGAAAAATGCACAAGAAATATAGGCAAAGTGTACACACGATTTGACCCCCCTCCGCCCCTTGGGGTTTCAAGCTTATCTTCCTCTACTGGAACAGATGGACACGAGGGCATTGCACCCTGATGGGCCGTGTTTTGGAGG